CCACCCTCCGTCGCCCCCCGCTGATGGTCGTCGACTTCTGTCAACTACCGCTGACATCCGTCGACCACCACAGATCGTCGACCACCACCGCCGACCTCCGTCAACCACCGTCGATCATCCTCGATCATCATCGATCACCGCTGATCTCCGTCGACCACCGCTGACATTTGTCAACCATCGCTTACATCTGTCGACCACCACCGATCGTAGGCGACCACCACTGACCTCAGTCGACCACCGCCGACAATCATCGACCACCGTCGAACACCGCTGATCGTCATCCACCGCCGACCAATGTTGACCGGATACCGTCAGATGAAATTGTAATCTGAAAAGCTAGTAACAATTTCTCGTCTGTAGGATAAGGAGCCGCTGTAATCATCAACATATAGTGGATTTTTATAACTGGACCAGACCCCGTGAATTTTTTCGGCGATATTGATCAAATAGTTTTGACACGTATAGTTGAAACTATGGTTAACATTTATTGTTAATACTAGCAATGATGTTAAGTGTCAACACCTATGGAAACACTTGATGTCAATCACTCAATTTCAATTAACATTAGTATGATACTTATATGCTGAATTAATGATATAAGATCAACTGATTAATCTATATGGATGATCTGATGCAATGCTTTAGTATTTTGACAAAAAAAAAAAAAAATTTCTTCATTTCCTCCTAAGGCCTTGTTATAGTACTTTATTGTTGGCTTAACTTCCTATGAAAAGTTAAAATATAAAAAAAATTGTGTGATATGAAGGGCATCAATGTCAGTCAACTATGGGGCGTTAATGGTCACTAGTGTCATTTGATAATGGACAATGATTGCTAAGTGATGATAGTCACATGATAAAGGTTTATTAATGTGATAGATATTAAAGATCATATAATAATGATCTAAAGATAATAGTTAAAAAATGATGATAGGATAATAACTATTTAACATCGATTATCAGATGTCATACCCGAACAATGATGATGACAGACAATAATGGTTAGACAACAGTAATTAATTTGATAATAATAGTCAATAATTAGATGATGATAATAATAGTTTTCGAATGATAATAATGAGACAATGGTTTGATGACGAAAATTTAACATTGGTGATTAGACGTTGAATATCAGATGATGACAGTCTATCAAATATAATCGGCGATATTGATCAAATAGTTTTGACACGTACAGCTGAAACTATGGTTAACATTTATTGTTAATACTAGCAATGATGTTAAGTGTCAACACCTATGGAAACACTTGATGTCAATCACTCAATTTCAATTAACATTAGTATGATACTTATATGTTGAATTAATGATATAAGATCAACTGATTAATCTATATGGATGATCTGATGCAATGCTTTAGTATTTTGACAAAAAAAAAAAAAAATTTCTTCATTTCCTCATAAGGCCTTGTTATAGTACTTGTATTGTTGGCTTAGCTTTCTATGAAAAGTTAAAATATAAAAAAGATAGTG